GATGGCTGAAGAGTGATCTCCTATTATGGCAATCGAGGGATGGTTTACAACGTTTGACAACATCTGCATCCAAGACATGCACACAACTCAACACAAACACTCAAATATACCATATGTAGCCCTATATGCACCACAACTAAGCGTTCAGTAGTTCCCCAACAGTTTGTCCATATTTTTTATTTAATTATATTTCAAACATTATTTAAATCTGTGTTCAATTATTTAGATATAACTTCACAAAATCATTGCTTTTTTATATTAAATTCTATTAAAAATAATGTTTAAATAGAAAATTAAAACATTGAGTGGGAATATATGCGGGAATTTGTGGTAAATAGCGAACGCTATGAAGGGTTGTCTCAATGCGTTGGCTGTACTGTACTGTCTGTGAGAGAGGGTGTGGTCTATAACTCGCCTAAACTGTATGTCAATTGAGTTAATTGTCTTGAAGTTTGGTTTTGTTATTATAGTTACAAATGTTATTAATTTAATTTCTAAACCATCTGTTAATTAAAAGCGAATATAACAGCGGATCAGTTGCAGTGATGTCTTCGAGTACATCCAATATGTTTTGTTCGCGTTGTAATGAAGGCTTTGAGGAAAGAGAAAAAATCGTTAATTCCGGTAAATTATCGCTTTTTTAATGTCATTTAATCCATACTTTTGTTAATTACATTATTTGTCAAATTATATGATCACTAATTAATTGCCATTCATTGCCCACAATTGATATTACGGTTAATGAATGTCCACTAAAAGTGATTTAATTGAAAACCACAAACTTTGTTCAAAACAAAACAACTTTTTAATGTATCCTTTATTGGAATAAAAATATTTTAATTAATTAATTAAAATTAATAATACATATGTATTAACATATTTATGTATGAAATTGGTGTAAATTTAAGTAAAGTTACTGTGTAATAATATTATTTGACCATGGTCATTTAAATAAGTCAAATTCTAAATGCATTAAGCTTATTTGGCTCTTGAATGGGTGGAACCATCTGTGAATATAAGGGGTATTTGATAGGCCCAGAGGGGCCCCAACTCTCGTTAATTGAGTCGATTTGCTTTATAACTATTGAAAATTTGTGTTTTCAATAAATTAATTATAATTAGTGTTGATTTAGTGTCTAATTTAACCATTAAAATGTGCGAACAGGGGGTGAAGTGTGGCATCAGTCGTGTTTTGTTTGCGCCCAATGTTTTCGTCCGTTCAGTAAAGATGCGATATTTTACGAGTTTGAGGGCCGGAAGTATTGCGAACACGACTTCCACGTACTCTTCGCCCCGTGTTGTGGTCTCTGTCACGAGTTTGTTATCGGTATTCATTCATTGTATTCTATGTATTACTTCCTGCTATTAATTAGTATCTATTTTAAGGCCGAGTTATCAAAGCTCTGAACAACAATTGGCATCCGATGTGCTTCCGGTGCGAGTTATGCCAAACACCTCTCGCAGATCAGGGATTCTTTAAAAACACTGGTATTTCTCTT